GTCCAACTTTCAGCAAGCAATAAAATTTAAACTGGAGAAGTAATTGGAAGAGTATGATACGCCCCCTAGAGGCTTCATGAAACAGTCATCGTCAGTTCAACAGACTGCGATGATGATGATGATCATCATCATAATTTTAATCCAAAACTTGATCTTTTCCTAAAAGTATTTTTGGTGCCTAAACTTAACTGATTCGCTCAGTTGGCTAGATTTCATCAAACAGCGATTTAAAACAATAATAATAACACACACACACAAAAAACATGAATATAAGTCAACTACATCTAGAAATTATGGACCAACAAGGAAATAAACACCACCACGATGCCCTCAGATCTCCACCAGACTACTTGTTCCAATTTGTCCATATACTACAAAGTTATACAAATAATCATGTTGGGTGGCTAAACTAGTTTGTCTAAAGATTACAATCCTGGATCCCTGCATGGTACAAGATAATGTCCACAGTGCCCTGCCCTATTTTTTCATCAAGTTGAAATACAGTGCCTTGTTATGGCCTGCTGAGAATTATAATAGCGTCTCGTATGATTTACTGTGTTTACATCTTTATGATCAGGTATGTAACTGTTTTTCTCAAGGCCCTGTCATTTTATATTAGACTCACCAAGCTCTGAATGTTTAAATGTCTTAAATATAGTGTTATATGGTTTCTGTTTCTCTTTTCTAGCTGTGTGTACATAGGCACTTTACACAGAGGATGTCAGGCTATTAAAAGCATAGTGGGAAGTGAAGGATAGCTATAAGGGATAGAGAGAAGAAATGTGGGTTCATGTCAGAGAGCCAAACAGTTTTCAACACCCAGACTGACCTTCAGCTTACACAGAAGCGCACACACGGATACAAATGTTCACAGGATGTGACCATAAACCACAATGCACATCCCTTATTACAGGAGTCAGCCTCGGCTGTACGTCATTTTAAATGTCACCAACTCCTCCACAGGGTAATGACTGATCTACCTGAGTTTGAATCTAGCATTTCCTAGCATATTAGCTATAAAGCCAACTGGGTGGAGAGAAAGGCAGCATTAGATTATTTGATAATTGCCAAATGCATCCAATAATGTTCATCCATGTGTGTATGTGCTGGCTTCTCTCTCTGTATTACATGATATTGCCACACTACCAGTAATGGAAAATATTTGCTGGTGCTACAGATAGTACAAAAAATATGACCTGCTAGACTGCAGCATCATGCAGCTTTCTGCTCATTTGTTTGCCTTGCAAGCCTGACGAATCACATTCATATAAACTGCTCATTTCTAAGCACAAAATGATAACAGGCTGAAGTAAATAAGTGGCTGCTGACTAAAATGAAGCATGGCAGTTAGGTCAAAATATTTTCCTCTGGAGCTGGCAGACCGGCTTGTTAGTATTCCATTTAATGTTCTGTATACTACATGGGAAGAGATTATTGCTGTAAACATAAAATGTATACAGCATAAGCACTGCATGTATATTTTAATATGAGCCCATAGAGGCTGGCAGAAAATCTCAGCGGTTAATTCTTGATAAAGTGATAATCTGTGGCATCAAGGCTTGTGGATGAGAGTTAGGTAGCAGCTAATGTTTATCAAGGCTCCTGCTCCCATTTTCCACAACATGATTGCAGAATTTGCATAATGAAACTATCAATCTCAGCAACAGCACAGTGCAATTTTTACATATTGCAAAATGCACTCGCAACACATTAAAGTTTAACACCCTAATAAAAAAAAACAACAACAATTGTTATCATTACGCAACCGAGCAGTGACTGTGCTGGAAGGAATGGAAAAGCACAGAACTGTTCATCCCCTTTCTTGCTCATTGTGATGAGGCGTGAGATGGTTGGCAATGCCAGTGACAAGCGGATCTTGTCAATGTAAGCTGCTGGAGGAGCAAAAAATACTCGTGCTAAGCCCCCCTGAGTAAGATGAGCGGCAATGCCTTGACCCGTGAGATGCAGTGGGAATTGAGGTGGAAGAGGGGCCGAGAGAGCGAGAGAGTGAGATAGTGAAAAGCTAGCTGGTGACAGAAGCATAAGACAGGCTGGACTGTGTAGGTCCATGTGGGTCAGGATAACCAGTCCAAATTCCAGGCTAACATGGACCGCAGGGAGCATGTTGTGATCAGTGCACACGACATACCAGGAGCATATGGAAAACTGAACGCATTCATTGATGTGTACTGAACAAACAGCCTGTTTTATTGGGAGGATTTGGTGCATTATCAATTGACTATTTCTGCATATTTATGATTCTTTATTTGACAGAATTTATGTGAAGGGACCCCAATGTTTCAAAGATTCTTGTGCCCCACTCACTGTACAAAACTACTGCGACACCAGCTCACCTACAACTCCTCTCATCCATCCATCCATCCATCCATCCATCCATCCATCCATCCATCCATCCATTGCCTTACATCCGAATCAGGCCTGATCAAGGCAACTTTTAACTGATAAGTATCGGCAACAGGCTGAGGAAGGTCTTTTGCTTATGTCCACTGACACACATACAATAAATTTTAATAATTTGCTCAATAAATGCAGTAGCATCAATCACTAATTGGCTCGTGTACTGATATTATTGGCAAAGCCCAGGCATGTTTTATATGCCAGTGGGACATAGAAGTAATTTTCTTGTTCAGTCTTTGCTTAATTGAACATGTATACTGGCTGGAAGTCATTAAGCATCATAGACGACTTTGTCAATGTACCCCATTATCAGCCTATATTGCTCTCTGCTTGCTAACACAGAAATGCCAACCACCTCTGGTCACTACACTATTAAACAGTAATAGGTGGTGCAACCAGGTACAACAGCTCAATCCACAATCCTATAAAGTGTACATTATCTAGGAAAAATAATACTGGATATTGGCAACTACCAAATAATGAATGACTCAGATCAGATTTATGGCAAAAACAAAACACAAACTAAACCCTGATAAAGAAAACCCTAGGTCTTTATGTTTGTTACATATGAAACCCAGGAAGTCTGATTCCATGTTTTTGAGACAGTTATGGGTTCAATGTAGTTTCAAAGTGAAAAATGCTCATCTATGATGTTTACTGCTTATTTTTCTCAAGGAGGAGGGTTAAGTAATGGTTCTTCCTTTGTCCAAGCTACACCTCGCCAACAAGTTTAATTAATTCCAGGTAATTTTTGTGTAAACTTGCTGAGAAATAAACAGCACTGAAAAAGCAAAAAAAAACAAAAAAAAAAAAAACAGAATTAGTCATATTGTTCATATGTAGGCGCTCTAATTGATAATTTGACAAAATCTAAACCAACTATCATCAGGTTTCTTCAGAAAATGAAAAGATGATGGCGGCGATTGTGTGTGTGAGAGTTTGGCTGAGTGTAGTTGTATCACATTACGCATGTGAGAGCCAGAGCTGGAGCAAAGCTGTACAGCAGTTGGATAATAAGACAGACAGAATATTAAAACACAGTCTGAAGAAAAGTGTAACTGGAAGCAACAGATACTCGATTCAAATGTCGTTAAAAGCCTCCACAAAAGGGCTATTACAAGAAATTGAGGAAAGGTGGCGACCTCAACAACAGACCAGTGGCTGGCAATTGTTACAGAAATCTTTCTAATGGAAAAACTGAGACACGCTGAGACTGCAAGAAGCACATTTATAAGAAATATGGGCAATTGACTGCAGTGACATGGAAAAGTAGCTGCAAGTAGATTCACAAACAAGGCTACGTGAATAACACAAAATGAACAAACTTCCCTCGACATTTCTTTTGCGTTTTGTTTTATCTTTGTTATTTATAACATCCTACGCAGCAACCCAACTAAACATTTAGCTGCAAAAGAAGCAGGCTGCAGGTGCTGTAAAACTGAATGATAAAATCCATTAGTGGTTAATAATCTGCGATGGTCAACTTTAACAAAGCCACGTTTATTTATCCACCAATAAAACGTAAAGTGCTGATTCATAAACCACGAGCTATTGTTGGTTTAAATAATGCAGATTTCCCTACAGCAATCTGTGCCTGCAACAGCAAGCCTGTAATAATGTGTCAGCAGGTTTCATCAAGTTCAGCCTTTTATTCAAGATCATCAATTTAAGACTCCTAAAAAGTGAAAATGGAAAAAAAAAGTACAGGAGTACACGAGTGACCTGATTTATCACGTCAGATGCGGCGTAGCAGGAAAGTGCAACATTCTGACAAGTGATAAAACAGAGCTAAAGACTTTAATAGTATTTACAGACTTCTGAAAGCTTCCATATCAGTAATCATTTTTTTTCCCCCAAGCCATGCTGACATCCTGCTTAACAAGAACTTCATTTAATCTCTTGCTGTTGAGGTCTGAGCTAAACCTCTAAAAACCTTTTAACGTATTCATCATATTCACAGAAATGGAGACAAGGTCATCATATCCAGTTTAGTAAAGAAGAAGAAGAAAAAAAGAGGGGAGGAAGGGGGGCACAGCTCCTGCTACATTTTACCTTGAGCCTCTCAAAAAGCAGTCTCCATCGATCTGAAAAGATCTAACAGAGGCACAGCTGCATAAACAATCCTCTCAAGTCTTTAGAGGGTTTTGAAATATTAACAAAAGAGCTTGCAGGTACATCATTTTGCAGTAGCAACTACGGCAGCAGAGGGAAAATGTGTTTGAGTCCTATTATAAATCACACAATACAGCAACAACATTGCACATCCAGGCCTGGCTTGTCCCCCAGGCAACCTGACAGCAAAATCCTGTCTTTACAGATGGCTCTCAGAGACAATCTGTACATGTGCGTGTCAGCATGCTTTGTGCGTCTGTAATTTTGTTTTATTAATGAAAATATAGTAATCAGGAACTGCCTCGCATTATCGCTGCTTTACATGTCTATTTATGTATGCATGTGAGCATACACAGAACACACGGGAGAAAGCTGATAAAAATAAAAATGGAAAAAGAAAGAAACCCTTAGTTGGCTCAGGCTAATTTCATCCACTCCACTTCCCTTGACATGAAAGAAGTAGGACTTACAGATCTTGTGCTTCCCTTTCATGGGGAATTTCACCAGCAGCTCCTGGGGGTTGGTGCAGATGAAGACGAATGGAGAAGCAGACTCCTCACAGGTATCAGGGAACTGCAGGGGTGGTGGTGGTGGGGGGGAAGGGATGATGAAAAGAACAGTTTAGCATCATCTTACACAGAGCTAGCATGTCCATATTGTGCACAGAAAATATGTTAAAGCCTGTGATGGCTATGAATCATTCAGCGAGTGTCTGTTTATACGCCTCCACCGTGCTAGATGTCCTCCATGCCTGATGTAATACTACATGCCTGACAGCAACTGATAGTTATGAGTCTCTCTGGGTCTTATGCACTATAATTGCACAACTAATGATGCAGTTGCTAATGAGAGCAGCTGCACCACTTGTGAGCTGTACGGATGACACAAGATGTAGAAAAACCAACTTCGAATTTCAAGACATCCAAAGGCTTTTTTTACTCGATGCACACCGTCCAGTAGATAATACTGTATCGTGACGACAATAAAATTAGCACGCTAATGGGTACAGTATTTGCGTTAACCTAATAATTACACAAAGAATTGTTACCTCCCAACATGGCAAGATTTGTATCTAGAAAAATACATCACATTTAACCGCATCCGTGACATATTTATGGATACCATATAACCATACCGCATTCCTATGAAGGAGAAGGTATTTTACAGCCCATAATTGACAGCAGCCCACAGCATACAGAGGCCGAGAGACAAGAGAAAACCTCTCTCCCCCTGTGTTATTGATTGGTCTCTTAGGTGAGAGTAGGGAATTGACTGACACAGTGACAAAGGAGTCATCTTTCCCATCACTGGCAGCCAACGGCTCTCAGCTCATCCAATTTCCTCCAGCGCTATCAGATAGTGCCCATGATTGCATCTAGCCAGCCAGGAAGCGGCTCTTTTCATGACAGCATGCTTTTTCCTCCCCACCCCCCCTCTCCCTTATTCACAGCCTCTCTATCTCCCTCAAAGGAGCACTGAAGGTTGTGACAAATTTGGGGCTTTTAAAGGAAATCAACAGAGTCTGCAACCCATCTGTACGGTCCCTGACAAACTGGGGGGAGATGATAGAGATGCTTATTTCAGATTAAAGTCCATGTCGACTTGAGTCTAATACACTGGCGAGTGACAAAATATGTAAACACTCAAGGAGTCGTTAGACGCTGGTGGGGATCGGAGAAGAGCCTCTTGATTACTCCTTCCTATGGCAAATGACACAGTGATTCCAATTAAATTAGGTTTCCCAGTTAGAAGGTTTCCCTGACTGCCCTTGAAATAAATTGTCTATGATTTAGTCGGGGTTAAAGAAGGTGAAGGTTGTGAGTTTTAATGTAATTTTAAGGGATACGCTTGATAATATATTATATTACTAGGAAAAGATCAAAACAATGAGATCCAATCGACACTGTGGCTAAACTCTGTCCAATTAGGGATCAACTGATTATCAGCCTGACCAATTATTGGATGGGTTAGTCAACATTTTTCTGTTTCTCCATCATTTTGTTGTTGTTGTCCTTTTCCCCCCAGTTCCCAATATTATATATAAAATTAAAACTGCCGTGTCTTGTCTATCTGTTGTCACCACATAAGTCATCTCCTTAGTCCAACAAAAAACAGATCAATAAGTCACACTGTTGTCCTGAATTACAATAAACACACCAAAAAACTCACGTCAAAATATAGATTCATTTGGCTCAAGCCCATTCAGAGCCAATTATTACAATGTGGACAGTTATTATAATGAAAAGCAGACTGAAAAAGCCACCGTCTTAAGGAAAAAAAATACTATGCATAAAACAGTTATTTATCCATAGTGATTTTTGAATAATAAAAAAAAAGTGTAATTGTTTAGTAAGAAACATGTATACAGCCTCCCTAATTGGAAAAATCCAGAATCTATGACCATGCAAATATTAGCGTATTGCTGCTGGAGCACACCACAGTGACATTTAGTGTTTTTTTTCTCCATGTGAGGAAACAGAACATATGCAGTTTGCAGAATCCGGTGGGAATTTATATTCATTTCTTTAAGCGCGAAAAGACATTTTTCAAATGTTTTTTCTTTTAAACCAAGAGAGCCAATAAAAACAAATGATAAATGGTCTAGCTAGGTTCTACAAAACCCTTTACAATGCGTTTCTTATTCACCAATTCACACAGCTGCTTTACAAGGTGGCTGCCGACCATCGGCAGTATCTTGCCCAGGTACACTTCGCCACACAAGGCACTGGGGCCGGGGATCAAACCACCAACCTTTTGATTGGCGGACAACCTGCTCTAACACCACAGCCATGGCTGCCTGTCGTGCCTGTCATAGTCAGAGTTGTTGTATGGATATCTAATGGTTTATTCATTACTTCAAGTCATGCATTGAGTAACATGCCAGAAAATATTTTACGTTAAAAGCTGCCAGTTTTCTTTCAGCAGCAAAGTGGGTTTTTTTTTTTCTGTAGTTTATACATTGACTAGTAAAAATTAAATGGTAGCAACATATTCTTTTATTTTTGGGACAGTTGAAAAGGGTATTAGCCTAGTAATATAGCAAAATAGCTCATTTTAAAGCACTTATTTCTGCCTGGTTAGCGCATTCTTCACTATTAATGCCACAGTCCATCAGTGTTGGAGTCTGAAGTCGGGTTGCAATATATTTATTAACAATAATGGCCTAATTAGGTAGTTGCCACATAATAAACACAAGATACTGAGGTAATATGAGCAGAATCCTTTAGATGGGAAGTTGTTCTTGTTATAAATAAATGATTCTGAACAAGAATGACTTTATGAACAATTCATAGATCATACGTGGATGTGAACATGCGACTGTACGAACGAGCCTCAGAGACGAACCACTGGTTAACTATGTATACGCCTGTGCGACAAAGATGCGCTCTGGTATATCAATAAATAGCACAATACCCCCGTCTACAAGTTATGTAAGGTATTTAACGATGGTGGGAATTAGATGGCGGCGTGTATAGGGCACATACCAGCCCTGAGCAGCAGATCGACGCTTCAAGGATAAAGTGGCTGAAAAGAAACCTTGGCAAGAAATGTTTAACTACTGTTCAACTATTGGATACGAGATGTCTCCAACATCACTGAAAGGCTTTATTTTTCACATCACTCTTGTGTGAGTTTCCTGTTGGACTTGAGATGTTGGTTCAGCGGAGAAATACTTTCCACTTCCAGCAGAAGATTTACAAATCCGCCTTCCAGTAAGACTCTGCATAACATCATCCTGGACAGCAGAGATGACCACAAATAGACCAGTAAAAAAATGTAAGGACAGAAGTTCAAACCTAGTGTACTTCTCCATCCTCCTTTATGCTCGCAGTCACACTAGCAGTCAATTCAACCTTCTAACATTTCCGTCTCACAGTCTAAATTGAGTGCTACCAAATTAACACAAAGGCCTCAGCAGCACAAGGTTAAACATGCAGAGGGAGAGTGAAAGAGAGTACGTTCGTCTTGTTCTGCCTTCTAAGCACACTGAAATAAATTTAATATTTCAATCATCGTGCACACAAACAGCTTAATAAAGTACAAAACACAGTGAAATTGCCTATTTTAAGTTGCTGAAGAGCTCAATATCCTCTCACATAAGATCAGTGAAAGGGAATAAACCATTTTTTTCCCCGTTCGTGGTGTCATTGAAGAGGTTAGAAAAATAACCATTTAATAAACATGAGGCCTTCTTCTTGTATTCGGATTTCATTCATGTTGTAAATAAATATCCAGCAACTGAATGTCTTGTTAATCAGTTCTTGCGCAAACCGGCCTCGAGGACGGGACGAGCATTTATCATGCTCACAGCCGTTATTATGACTTTGACAGAAAAATAAGGACGACTGAAAAAAATATAAAACACAAAAAGCATGATACAAAAACTTCCTGAACTTTGATCATCATGAGAATATTTTCAGAATAATTAGGAAGAAAATAACAATGAATCACACCTAAGAAGCAGGACCATAGTAGAGACTGAAATTTCAGAATTTGAGACGATTCACAAAAGAAAGCAACCTGAGGCGCTTCCTGAAAAGATAAGCCTCATTTGAGATCATTACAAAAAAATATCTCTGGTTACACAAGATGGCTGTATTGTCAGTGGTACTCAAGGAAACAAAATGGTGGTGGTCTTGCTGAATTCAGATGAAACAAGCATAGCAGCAGCCAGAGCTCGAGTGTGCTCATGTGAGACCCTGCCAGTTGCCTGCTCTTTCATCCTCCATTAGCTAATTAGCATTTAAAGCTGTTGAATGTGCTGCTTTGCCTCACTACCTCCCCCACCTAATTGTTTCCATTCCACGTTAATCAAAAGGGCACGAAACACTGTGGTTGTGTGACAAGGAGGTTTTCTAAAGCCCTCCATATTCATCAGAAAGGATCTAATGTAAGCACAGCGGACCGGTTGAGCTTGTCATGAAACACAGGAATCGAGTTAAGAAACTGTTGAGTAAATTTACATGGAAACACTACAGGCGACGATGTTCAGTCACGTGACTTCGCGTTGGCACACTAGTCATTAGTCAGTGGTAGGTCAGGCTCACAGCCCCGGGGCATTCTGGGTAGAGGGACTAATGTGTTCGACATGGGGAGAGATCTGAGGGTGTATGTACAGTTCCAGTGACAGCTGCATTAAAATGCCTCAGCGTGAATTGTGTATCACTAGTTGATTGCTTCCAATTTACTTGCCGTTGGAAGTCAGACAACTGTGAGACAAAGAGTTTGTGCTCGACTTGACGAGTGCGTAATTCAGTCACCTAGTTAGTTCACTTACAGGGGGGGCTTGACATTTTTGGGAAGTGTGCTTATTAGCGTTCTTGTCAAGAGTTTAACAAGAAGAATGATATCTCTGTGACAGACGTGCGATAAATTTGAAGCTGCTGACGACAGCTAGTTAACTTAGCTTAGCATAAGGAATGTGAACAGAATGAAAGTACCAGTCGAGATTAATGGATCTGATATTTAGCATTTTTCCCATTATTGGTGTCGTTATTTCTTTTTTAAACCAAGTCCAGTTACTTTGGCTCTGATGCAGTCGTCTCTCTGTCTGTAGTCACCAATCTGTTACC